ATGGGCCACACAAGGGCCCATCAGCTTCTGGGCCAAGTTGGGTGATTCTGTATTGGTCTATAAACAACTTGGGAACAGACTACTTGAGGAGACATCTCCTCATATCTGTTCTCTGAAGAGGGACTCCTGGTGGTCCCCCATGGAATGGATAAAAAATCTGCTTGGAGGTCACTAGGAGTAGGGTCTTTACTGTGATGGCTCCCACCCTATGAAATTCCCTTCCAGCTGAAGTTAGTCACGCACCTACGCTACTTTGTTTTTCGCATTTGCCAAAATCTTTCTTGTCAGGCGAAGATTTAATGACTGATGGACACATTTCAGCCACTCTTTCATTGATTGTTTTACTTTTACTTCAACTTATATTTGTTATTTAATTTATTGTACACTGCTCTGTTATCTCTCAAGGTGGAGTGGATTATAATTTCTGCAACAAACAAAGCAAAGACAACTTTCAGGGACATTGCTTAGCCTTTTGATAATTCAAATGCAATGGCTTGGGTCCTGGTTACCTGAAGGAGCGCTTACATCCATATATTCCCGCCCACCCCTTGAGATCTGCGGGAGAGGCCCTTCTCCGGGAACCCTCCGTGAAAGAAATCAGGAGGGTGGGTACTCGGAGGAGGGCTTTCTCTGCGGTGGCGCCTAATTTATGGAATGCGCTCCCCAGAGAGGTCCACCTGGCGCCGTCGTTATTTGTTTTTCGGCGCCAGGCGAAGACCTTTTTATTCAAGCGTCATTTTAATTGTTAATATTATTGGATTTTATCTGGCCAGGGCGACTTATTTTATATTGTTATTTTTTGCATTTTAATTTAATGTTTGCACTTTACAAACATTTTAATTTATTGTTATATTTAATGTTTGTATTTTAACTTAATGTTGTAAGCCGCCCCGAGGCTTCGGCGAATGGGGTGGCATAAAAATGTTTTAACAAATAAATAAACCCTTCTGTAAGAGTGGCACAGCAATGCTGTATTCATATTTCAAGTGGAGTTCTGATGCAGTTTTGATACTATGGATGATTGGCTCAGCAGAGGTACAGCCCCAAAGACTCATGCTTTCCCTCCCCACTCTACTCCAATTCCCCGCCGCATTTCTGAATTTACAGCAACCATAGTTTGACATGGTGAGCAGATTGGACACGTTCTTACTGCAAGGCATTGTTTACCTCCAAACCCCAACAGGAAACCTGGATCAAACCTTGTGTGTGTGTCAACCATCTTTTGTCCAGTCTGGATGGAATGGCAGACTGAGCAGCCTTTCCAACCTGCTCCCTTCCAGATGTTTCAAATTTCAAACCCAGTTGGTCTCAGTGAGCATAATCTATGCTGAGGGATCGTAAGAGTGAAAGTGCAAAACATCCTGAGGGGGCACTGGCTTGGAGAAGGCTAGAATACAGCTCCTGTGTACCAGGAAATGAGAGGGAAAAAAATCTGAATATAGGAGGGGAAGAAAAGGATACAACTGAACCTGAGCCACAATCCTCATAGCTGAATTACGGTTGGAACCAGGTGAATGTTTCTGATGAGATTTTCTCTGGAGTATTACCACACACTGAATGAATAATTCACCATTAGACCAAGAAATCAGGTGCTGAATTTAAAATGTGTCAAATATGTAGTTTATAATGATTTCAAGAAAATGAAACAAAACAAAAAATTCGGAATGCCCCATATAATGAAAGAGATTTGTTTTCCAAAGGTTAAGATTTAAGGTTAGCACATTACTTTCCCAATTGTATAAAAAATAAGAGATGGATTATTTGACTTTACAAGGTAACCAGGTATATGAACTATTTGTGAACTGTAAACACAGATGAGGGCCGAGTTAGCCCTGATGGTAAGCAGTTCAAGGAAAAGGCTGGCCCAGTGTGCAATGCCTGTGAAAAAAGCACATTCCATGCTCGAGATCATTAGAAAAGAAATGGAAAATAAATCTGCTGTTCCCATCATGCCCCTATACAAATCTATGGCGCAGCCGCACTTGGAAAATGGTGTACAGATCCGGTCACTGCAGAAAAGGTTACATAAAATGGGCACGGGGCTAGAGCTACAGTGGGGGAAGGCTACAGTACTTGGGGCATTTAGTATAGAAAGAGAAGTTGGAGCCTGCCTCTGGATGCTGGTTTCTGGGGGTCAATAGTGCACAAGGTCTGCAGCCCCCATGCTCTATTCACATGGGCCTCTGGTGGGCCACTGTGGGAAAAGGGGTGCTGGATGACACAGCCCAAGCCTCTCTGGCCAAGGGACATGTGTGCATGGATGCATTTACATGTCTGTTGAAACAAAAGGCAGTGATGATGCTCATATCGAGCATTTCAGGGTTTCAAAGAACATCCCCAAATTGCATCTTACAAATTATTTACCTGCTGTATATCAGGCAGCCCCTGCCATTGATCTCTTTGTCCAGCTTGAATCTCCGGAAGTCCTCCCAAGCATCTTTGATGGCTGTGATGGTCATTATGACACAGACTGGGATCACGGATATCTCTGGCTCAAATGCATTGATCACCGGCACAAAATTGAGTGCTGCGATAGCCACAAAATAAAAATTGGCAAAGCGATGGAATTGCTCAAAGGCATTTTTAGGGATGAAAGACAGGAGGCTATATTGCGTGGTCTTGATTTTGTTGCCGTCATAATTATTTGGGTTTCCTTGCCATTTGTCTTTAAAGTGTACATTAGGAACAATGACCCTTTTGGTTTCTTCTTTCTTCGTTTTCCTCTTCCTTCTCTTCCCAGGTTCCTCATTCTCAGAATCTGAAGCAAAGACCTGGCAGCATGGTCTTCTGAACCAAGGCACTTCCCTTAGGAATTTTATGAAGCACATTTTTTTGACATCTTCCTCTCCCTTAAAAGTCACACCTTTGCATAACAGTTTTAGAAAATCAAGACTTAACTATTCCATTTGGTTTGCTGTATGGTGAAGTGCCGGGCTGAGTTTAACTAAACCAGTTGCTTTCACTTTGCTTCTAGTCAACACTTGCTTGCACAAACACGTCAGGCACACGCACACGCACAGAAGGCTCATCCTCCTATAAACCAGTTTTCCTGTCATTGGAGTGAGAGATCCTGGGTCCTAGTGCTTGCTCTTTATGGAGGATTGAGGAAATCGTTCCTCAACTGGGAAGTTTTTGCACAGAAAGTTTCTGAAGATTGCACAGAAAAAACAGAAGCCCTTTCAGCCTATTTGTCACTCATTAAAACATACCTGAAAGTCTATGTATTATATGCTCCCCCTATATCTATTTATACAGAGTTATATATACTCTGTGCTAAAAAAGAAAAGAAAACACACACACACACACACACCACCAGACAATTAATAGCTCACAGCTTTTTTTAAATGAAAATTTCCAGCAATTTGTCATTATGAAGGCAGGGCCCCAAGCACTGCAGCATTTGGCTGATCTCCTATGCAGAACTTGTAAAACACTCACCTGTTTTCTTATAACTTGGAAGAAGAATTACACAAGTCAGAGAACACGCAGGGAGGCATCTCCTTCCCGTGTGCGTTGCCATGGAGGCCTCATTCTAATCACAGCACTGCTTTGGATGCCTAAAGCTCCTAAGAATTCCCCTCCTAAGAGACCTCCTAAGAATTCCCCTTTAATTGGTTTGTGGATTGTCTGCTGCTAGGTGCCCAGAGCCATTTGTGAAAACATACATTGATCCTAGTGAAGGACAAACTACACCTGGCTTGCTTTGGAAGTACACGCAGTAAACCAAGGCATTTGGAAACAAACAAAAAACAAATCAGAAAATAGCTCAGCTTAGGCAGAATCCAATTCCCATCTTTGGGAATGCAGAAATGTCCAAGACCCTTCCTCAGGGTCCTCTAAGCCCTGCCTCTGGGTGCCAGTGGCTTTCCCCCTCCCAACAGCAATGGGAAGAATCTGAAGCAGAGAAGGTCCCACTGGAGGGCGTCCATCCTTTGGGTATTTGCTGGAACACTGCTGTGCATCAGGGGCCCTGGGAAACCTCCCTTCTCATGCCTACCTAAGCCCTTTTCATGCACATCAAGGGTGGTTTCAGGCGGATAGTTCCTAGAGCTACCTGTCAACAGAAGCTGTGCACCTATTCCATCTCTCTTTCGTAGGTGTTCTGTAGTAAGGGGATCAATGAAAGAGGCAGTGGGAAAACACGGGAGGGTTACCAATGGAAGACAATGTCATCTGGATGGAATCCCCTCTGTCCCCAATAATAACTCCATGAATAAAGTGTGAGAGTTGCACAATATCAGCGTCCTCTGAAAGCCAGCCTCATCTCCACCTGAATCTTGAAGCTACAACTCTCTTTTACTTAGGACAAACAAAGAAATACAACTCCATGGGATTATGCACCTCTGCAGGAGCCCAAGTCATTCGAGCGCAACAGCAGAATCCTATCGTCTCCTGCTGTTGAGACACTGGGGGGCCGGGTGGATAGTCACAGAATCCAGGTCCTATGACTTCAGTGCTGGGACCCCAAAAGATCCCCCAAAATCCAACAGCTGTCCTGTCCACTTCACAACTGCGGCAAAAAGGCCCGTGTTGACTGCCTCTCTGAATTGAGAAATGCATGGCGGGGGAGGGGGGCCCATGGTGAGGGTGGGGAGGAGACTGGGGCCATCTCCATATTCCTGTTCTCTTTGGTGCTCAGCCTCCTTTCCTCTGCCTCCCAGGTGCTGTCGCTAAAGAGAGCTGTCTAGATAAACACATGGGATGAGGAACGGCAGCAGAGAGATCACTGCTGCTGCTGCTGCACCACCTTGCTCTGGCCATTGGATGCATGTAAGTCTCCAGGTTTGGAGGCTGCTGTGCATTGAGGCCGAGGGTCATTGGGGTTTGCCATAGTGAGCTTGTGAAATGCAGTCTTGCAATCGCTCAAATACCCAGAATGTTGAAACACAGAGGCAGAAGTGAGATTTTTAGGGTTAACTTTAAAGACAAAAACTGGTGATGAAGTGAGGAGTGAGAAAATAGTGTAACAGAACAGAACGAATACACATTTGTAGACTTACCTATTGTAAGCTTTGGTTGTAGAAGAGTTGATCTGCTGATCAAATCTGTACCTCTTGTAATCTTCAATGCCATCCTTAACTGCTGTAACTAGAAGCACAACAGCCAAAGGTAACATGGCGATCTCCCTGTGGAAGACCTCTAGCTGCGGGAACCAGTTGATGGCCACCAAGAACAGGAAATAGACATTCGCCGACCTTAAAAAAGTGTGCCATTTAATAGAATTATTTCCACTTCTTAATTAGCCTCGCTCCCTCTCATTTATTTATTTATTTATTTATGTTAATCTTTCCCCATTAACCATAAGGCTTCCTTACATGGGGGAGACAATGGCCTCCTGCTCCCCTTCAGGACGGAGCCTCGCTCTAATACAGAACCCTGGCTTGGTCAACCCCCTCCCTCACGGTGTCCTCTTCTCACTGCTGTTGTCACCGGCTGCTACTGCGCTTCCCTGTCCTGCTCAGCACTTCCTTCCTCGCTAAGTGGAGAGCAAGGGGGCACATCGGCCGGGGCATCTTTGCACTGAGAGGCAGGTCGTGAGCAGAGCTGGCTGGAGCCAGGGCTCAGGCGAGATGGACTGGGGGACTCAGCATGAGAGGCGAGGGAACAAGCAGGCTGCGAAGGCACGGAGGAGGAGCAGTGGCAGGGGTTCTCTTCCGCGGGTCCTTGCTGGCATGCGGACCTCCCCGTGGGTCATGCCCCCACAAGAAGATTCCTCCTAGGAGAAAGAGACGAAGGCCTCATCACAAAGCAGTGCCCGTATCCTGCTGAGGCAGAGGCTGCAAGAGGGCCCGAGTCCATGAGGGCGGCTGCTGGGGCCTGCCCACTCAGGAAGAGGGGGCACCTGCCTCAGAGGAGGAGGCAGAGGACCCCCAAGTCCCGGGGAGCAGTGGCACCAGAGGGGGCAGGTCCCCCTCAGGAAAATGCCAGGCTGCTGCAGAAGTGTGGGAGGAAAGGGGCTCCTCCTGAGTGGAAGCCCTGCTCATGAGGAGGACCTTCTGAAATAACTGCAGCTGCAGCTTGGGTAGGGCTCAAGAACTGAACAACTTGATTATAGTTATGTGTATTTTGGCCCACATACCAGTGCAAACAAAGCAGTTGCAATTCCCAAACCAGGCCTGAAGTCTGCTTAAAATGAATCTAGGTATTTCTTTTTATCCTAGAGAATTTAAGACAAAATTAGAATTTACAGCTAACTCACTCACTCATCTTTCACATGAATGCAATAGTCAAGGCTGACCAATACAGTTTCTGGACAAAAGAATTTAATTAGGGCTTCTTCACTCTTTGGCTTACACTTGCTTCCAGATGAGCAGCTGGGACCAGCTCCTCACTTAATGTGCTATTAATGAACTACAGCTTTCAGTGGATCCTCAAGTCTCTCCCAGCACACCAGAATTAGCGGCAAGTGCACTACAATGGACCCTTGAGTGGCTATCCTGGTCCTTAGGCCCAGGTCTCGTAAAGCCTTATATCCACCCAGAAAAGCTCCTCCAGTTGACCCTGCATAAATTCAGAGATGCAGCTATGGCTAGATTAGGGACTGAAGGCCATGGCCTCAGAGCCCAGGGGGCACCTCCCAGAATGCTGCAGGTGATGAGGGTAGTAGAAGTAAGCTCCCCCTTTTTCCTGTAGTCCTGATGATTGCATTTAAAATGCAGAGCTGTACATGCTAAGAATGTTTTAAGAACAAAACTTGGCAAACAGTTTTGGTGCTCTTGTAACTTGCAAATAAAGGAGAAGCAGCAACAAAACAAAGAACAGGGGTGGGTGGGGAGGCAGAAGGAGAAGTGTTTGGTTCTGTTTAACAAGTGAAGTAATAGATTTGATCATTTCACTCCCATGCCACCAAAGTCCATTAAGTTCAAGGTCTAAAGCTACTGAGCTGCACCACTCTGAGTTGCTAAGGAGGCAAAGCAGGGCAAATTTCAAGGTTGTTATGGGAGCCATAATATCATGTGTTGTACTGGTAAGTGTGGCCTAAGGGTAGATGAGGAGCAGGACCAATAACCTACAAATCTTCAGCACCATTCCAAAATCACCTTTAGCAGATCACTTAGGGAATCTGCTGGACAGTGAATCCCAGCTTGTCCCTGGAATGCAACATCAGCTTTACTCACATCACATATGAATTCTGATGGATAGAGGGACAAGTGACAGAAACCAAGTTCTGATATATCCAAGTGACTCTAGTTCCCCATCCATTACTTCTCAATTTGTGATGCATCAGGGAACCAGTTAGACATAGGCCTGATGGTGTCATTGCTCTCCAGGGGGAATCCTGGCCACTTAACCACAGGGCTGCCAAGACAGTTCTATGCCCTCAGGAGAGATGGCTTCAAACATCCTTGATCAGTGGAGAGCTTGGCTTCTGAGGTGGTAGAGGATACTTATGCATCATCTAGTTCCTGAAAATGCCAGGGCCTAAAGATAGAGGCCAAGATGTTGGCCAGATGAAGCAGTGACTGCTTGCAGAAGAACATTCCTTGGGACTAAAAGATTTGCCATGAGCAAGGCCCTCCACATGAGTTAGACATCTGCCAGAAGGCCTATAATGACCTGCCGCTGAAGCTTATGTGGTGTTCTGGGAGCCCGAGCTTATGAACCTGCCTTAGTAGAGGGAGTTTCTTGAACAAGGTCTGTATATCACCTCTGAGCCTTACCTGCACTTCCAATCATTGGCTAAACTTTGTTCCACTGGACCTCCTTGTGATGGAGCTTTGATTGCCTTGTGACTCTGTTTTAACTTGCCATTATGTGGATACTTCTGCTCTCAGTTCCACTGGCCTGCACCAGACTGTCTTGTGAACCTGTTCCTAGTGAGTATCACCCCTTGGCTTCATCTGAAGCAGGACAGATGGATAGAAGCTCCTGTGTCATTCAACCTGACCTCTGTAATATATGGCAGGTTCTTGCCTTTATTCAGTAATATTAATTATGAAGCATGGTGTGGTCATCAGAGTGTTGGACTGGGGACCTGGGTGATGTGGGTTCTAGTCCCCACTCAGCCACAGAACTCACTGGGTGGCTTTGGGCCTGTCAACTTAACCTACATCTCTCTCAGCTTAACCTGCATCACAAGGGATGAGATAGAGCAGAGGAAAGCCTTGCAAGCCGTCTTGGGTTCCTTGGAAGAGGAAGAAAGGTGGGGTGTAGTGATAATTTACAGCATCACTGATTGGTACTGAGCATCTGACAAAGTAGACTCTAGCCTACAAATCTCCTGCTGCAATACATTTATCAGTATTCTTTGCTATTCACAGGTGTTCTGTAATTGCTAATACAGAGTATTGGAAATACATATTCTCAGCCTTATCTGGTTATACTCCATTAGAATTAGATGCTTGTTGTACAAAATTCTACGATGACACAAACTTCATGTTTAACTCCATTAAAAAATGAATTCTGTTTTGTTTTAGTTGTAGTCTGTGTATATATACATACCTGTGAAACTGTTCAAAGAGATTTTGGGGTAAAAAGCTCAGAATAGTGTACTTTGTGGTCTGTATCCTATTTCCAGAATAAACTCGAGAAACTCTCCCCAAATCCTTTTGAAATCCGTCATTTCTGGGAAATACAACCCTCCATTTATGCAAGTCGTATTTCTGCCTTTGTTTCTCAGATGACAACAGAGGTGTGGATTCCAGCTGAGCCTGGATGGCCTCTTCAACCGGCCACCAAGGCTGATACACCGCAGAGTCTACTGACAAAGCCATTTTCAGCTACAGGGGCATGCCTGAAAGACGAATGCATGAGAAGGGTTGGAAACAAATGCATTTCTTGCTAGGGAAGAATTAGAGCAGCGCACGAAACCTTACTTTGTATATTCCTTGCCTGAGTGCCAAGGTTAGTTTTTGCCATCAAGACATGGAAACAGTTCATAAGGAAGAAAAAAATCTCACCCATTTCTAAGTGTCTGAAGGAAAGAACTTTATAAGAATGCCTTATGCATTTTAGCAACATGTTTATGAATAGTACTTACACATATCAAGTGGGAAAGTGGTGCCAACGTACAAGTGAATCATAGAAGATTATGAAAGTTTTACAACATAAGAACTGAGGGAAAGGATAAATGACACTGTTTATTTGATCAGAGACTTGCTGTACCAGTTCTCTCAGTGGGGGAATAAAATGATCAGCACTGGAAAAAATGTAGAAAAAAGCACAAAGCAGGAAGGGATTCCAATATCTAACAGAAAGTCTGCAACAAGGATTTAATTCTTCTTCTCGTTGAAAGACCTTAATTTTAAGAAAAAAGTTCTTTTATGAGGCAATGGCAAGTTAAGGTACTCACCTTATCTTCTTTGCTGTATGAGCAGTAAATACTTTCCATAGTTGTACATGATGTCTGCCTGAGTTTTGCCTGTAATTTTTGTGTGTCAGCTGCTGGGTTGTCTGCTTGCTGTGGTGTGGTATGTATTTGGTCTGGTTTTGTTTGCAGTTATTTTCCTGAGCACCTCCATTTTACCTCTTGTAAAATAAACAGTGTGTTGGACTTTGCGAAGGCTAATACATGATTTGGAATTTGGAACCCATTCTACCTCTTGTATTGTGTATTTGCCAAGTTGCCAGTTTGTTGTTGTTGTTGTTGCTGCTGTTGTCTTTTGTAAAATTTGGGTTTGGGAACAAAAACTGTGGGTTCAGAATAGCTTTGTGTGTTTGAGCTTGGAGCACAGCTCTGCTTTTTTCCTCATCAGTTTACATTGGGAAATGGATGCTTTGGGACTGGTCATGCTAACCATGGCAGCCACTTTGTGAATGGGTAAGCCATCATGTTGAACCCATTTTGTGAGTACTGTCAAAATTCCAAATAGGCCTACAGACCAAAAAGACCGGGGAGAGTTGCAATGGTGTTTGTGCAGAGTGTCTTTGGCAAGGGGAGGACAAATAAATATTCTTGATCTGGGGTTAGGATTCTAGAAATGGGTTGAAATACTCACTTGACTTTTCACATTATCAGTCACTTTTTACATCAGGTAACAACATAACTTTTGCATGGCTTGGATGATGAACTGCAGCATTGTTCTTTTGGAACTGCATATTTTTTTTCCTGGAACAGCCTGTAATAATATGGAAGAACTGCTGGATTCAACTTGTTGGGTTTTGCTTCCTAGTACTAACCAGGGGATCGTTAAGGAAATGCCTTGCTTCTAACCTGAGGAAAGAATGGCCAAAGCCTGCAGGAGTTCTGTATAGGAGCCTTCATTTAAATAAACCCTTTAAGTTTGTTTGGAAGCAGGGTCTGCTTGGATCTATGGGGTGAAACGCAGTCAATTTTGTATATAGGCTGCACTTTAAAAAATCCCTTACAGCATTTGATGGTAGATCAGGTGACTAAGTAGATGGGTACCAGACAGACCTGAAACATTTGAAGCAGGTTGACTCCTGCTTCTTAGGGGCAGACAATGAGTAGGTCCAGACAACATTTTAGTGCAGACTCAAGGGTTGGGTATGAGTTACCACTCAGTCATGCATTGGTGTTGAAACATGGGTTGTTGTGTTGTCAGAGCCTAGCCAAGATAACAACCAGAGTGAACTGTCCACTGGTCCCTACCCAGCAAGAAACCATGGGTTGTTATGGTCACTGATAACCCACATGCAACTCTTTAGTGCCATCTGAACCCAGTCAATGCCTTTCCACCTGCAGCTGAAACCCTCAATTTCCCTTTTGGCTCCTTTCAGCCACGTAATGGCCTTTGGGCCTAGGGCCATGCCAGGGGTGAAGAGTATGGTTGATACCTGCTCAGCATGCAAATAGCCACATGATTGCTTGATTCTACAGCAGCCTCCTGCCTCAGCTCTGCAGGCAATGCCCAGTAGACTTGGGCACCACTGGCAGAGTTCTCTATTATCGCAACATATGTGAAAATACTAACTTCAGAGAAGCTGTATAGCAGTCTGCTTTCCCCCCAAGGATTGTACGGAGAAGGGAGGACAGACCACTCACAAGAACAAAAACCAAAAGCAAAAGACAAAACCAGCTTATTTTAAATCTGCACCCTCTCCAAGCCCATCTAACCCTTAATACATTGCATTGCTTCTACAATAACATTGTAGTCATATTTGTAATTTTTCTAAAGTACATCCACATACATGTCAGGATAACAACCCTGGACTAAACTGCAGAGTTAACACGTACTCTTATGTCTTCCCTCTGCCCAGCAAAAATGAAAATAATAATACTGAGTCATCGTGGAAGACTTCTGCAAACCACATTGTCTGAGCCACATTCTGTATGTGCTGTCAGGGTAATTTTTATAAATGTTTCGCAAAGCCAGTTTCTTATTTTATGAGGCCAGAGTTAGAAAGATCATGAACTATCTTTGTGCCACCTTTTTTGTTTTTGGGCAGACGCAGTGGGTACTGAAATGTGAGAACAACCAGTTTCTCACAGATCGAATGGGCAGCGGAGAGGTGGCAAATTTTGCCTAGTATTGTGGGTTCTACAAGGGCTAGCAATTTTCTCTTTGAACACAGCAAGTGAGCTGGGAATCTGGAGATCATGGCTCATTGTGAGGTAATCCACTCCCCATCTTTGCCACCCTCTCTGTGGCCACAGCCCCTGCCATTTTTTGGCTGAAAACTCCTCCCGCCACTCAGCTGTGGCATTAATATTGTAAATGCTGTAAACTGTGGCTGGACGATAGGTGGAGAAATAAATCTGTCATGAGGCTGGGAATGCATTTCCTTTTCAATAACAGTGGTCATTATAAGCACTGGTTTTAAACACATGCCTATTGAAACATGGTTATTATCCCTTATGATTGGGTGGGATTGCCCCTGTTTTCTCATTTTTAAAAAAAATCTCCTGATTGAGATGGTAAAAACCTAAAACTTCTGAGGCAGTCTTGCCAGTGTGATTTATTCTATTCAGAGGAAACAAAGGATATAAATAGACATGGGTTCCCTTGGGGAACAAAATATATTTAATTTATTCAGCTAATTTCCTGTACGTTTCCTGTTATATGTTGTATAAGGAAAGCATATAACAATAGCACAGAAATACCAAGTCCCAAAAGGTTCTGGACAGGATCCCGTGCACATGGGAGCCACTGACTGGGCAGAGGGACTTCAGTGCTTCCAAAAACAACCCAAATTGAATGGAAACACTCACCAAAGGGAGTGCCACTGCCCTGCCCTGATCCAGAAGATCTGGGCATGTGCGTGGATTTTATAAGCCACAAAGTCCATTGCACAAGCACAAGTTCCTGTTTTGCGAGTGCAACAGGAACAGTCCATTATCATGGCTCTTTTTAAAGTCACTATATTAGAAAATCATTAATGTCGGTGTGGGAAAAGTTAAAGATAAAACTGTATAATAAATTACCAAGATGGCTTTCACCCATGGAAGCTTTTGTGTACCCAAATGCATTGAATTTTGAAGGGATTATAAGATATGATAATATTTTGGATAAGGATGGAGGCCTGAAATTGAATCAAGAAACACAAGAACAGGGATCTAATATCTCTTGGTGACATAAGGTGCAGATACAATCGAGATATATTAAAGATTGTAAAGCGTGGGGTTTTTATAAGGACTTAACAGCATTTGATCAAGTGATGCTTAAATCAGATGGGAAAATGATTAAAAAATTATGTGACTTCTTACTTGATAGGAAAATGGAAGATGAACAGGTTAAGGAAACTATGATAACGTGGGCACAAAATTTCCAAATATGTCAAATGGATGTTGGAAATGTAAACATAAATTGGGTACTTTTTATCATATGTGGTGGACTTGCGATAATGTGAAAAAGTATTGGATTAAAATACATAAATGGCTCAAGGAAATGTTACAAAAACCCTTAGCTTTTAAACCTGAAGTTTTTTTATTAGGCGTTATACCAGAGGACATTAGTAAACAAGAAATGTATTTGATTTTACATGTAATCACTGCGGCGAGGATTGCATTCGCTCAACACTGGAAAAGTCAGGAACTACCCACTGATGAACTGATTCTAAAAAAGATTCTGGACTGTGCAGAAATGGATAGATTGACTATCACTGAAGGAGAAGGAAGATACTGACTTCTATCAAACTTGGGACTCTTTTTATTATTGGCTAGAGAAACAGGAGTTGGCTTAGATTTAAATATGTTTTTAAGTTATCATAAATGGAAAAAGAAGGGTGTGGGGGCTGACCCAGAGGGCTCGATGTTTTGATGATGGATGTTGTTTGTAGTTTTCTTTTTGTTTTTTTAGGATTATAATTTCAAATAAAACTTATTTTTTAAAAAAAGGAACAGTCCATTATTTATTTAAATACCCCAATGAAAAGGAGTCTCTCTCTTTTGTACAAAACATAGTAGCACATCTCAATAAAATGATCAGAAATATAAACTGAATACCTTAATGCCATGTTTATCAAAATATGATGGCCATCAGATATAAAAGCTAAAACCACACTGCCGAAGCTAAAGTAATAAAAGTTAAAACATGAAAATTACTAAAAAATACTAACACTACTTAAAAGCGTGTTAAAAGCCTGGGACAGCAAACACCTTTGAAGCCTACTGTGGGAGAGATAACAAAGTGGGCATTGGCTGAACTTTTCTGAGTTGAGGTTTGTACTGCTGAAGAAGTCACTGGTTTTTAAAGAGGAAAAAATTTCAAGAGGAAACAATTTCAAGGAAACCATTTCAAGCTGCAGATTTCCAAAAAACAGATGCCAGCTTGCTTCTCTTACCCAAGGAACCGGTCTTACTGCACCTGTATGC